AATTTAATGGGGGTTCGATACACAATGTGTTCTACGTCCCCGTTACCAAACTCTTCATCACGAGCAATGTCAAATGCACTATAGTGGTAACTTACAAGCAAGGAGTACCAATCCTTAAGTGACTTATAACAATGCGTACTTATCATTAAGTGACTTACAATAAGAAGCATTTATCCTTAAGTGACTTACAACAAGGAGCAATTATCCTAAGATGACTTACAAGAAGGAGCATTTATCCTCAACAAAAATCGAGTTTTCACAAGGCTCTTGAAACTACCAAAATATAAATGATAATTTTATAATTGAAAGAACTCTCTTAACAAATGATATAATCAAGTCAAGTATTTAGAGAGTTAGGATAACATTTCAATATATAGCGAATAATAAAGCTCAAGTGTTTATGTTGTAAATTTTGATGAATAATGGATAATGAAATAGTTTGTATCTTGTATCAAAGTTTTCAACCTATGATNAAGTTTTCAACATATGATCTCTCTTGACAAATAATGCAAATTAAGTATGAATAGAGATTTACACTTCAATATAAAAGTTGGCAAAGAAAACCTTTATCAAGAATTGAAAATAGATGAGATTGAAAAGTTTCCTTACAAAATAGAATTCTTGATAAAATAGATGAAACTAGTTTGATCAATCAAAAGATTCTTTTTAATAAATGAAATAGAATATATAATCAAGTAAGTTCAATTATTTTCAATAAATATACTCTCTTAATTGCTCTTGTAAGTTGTTGACATTGAATGCAAAAATAGTGAGCTATTTATAGATCAAAATGTTTGAAAATCAGCAACTTTCGGTTGAGAATTTAGATCAACCGAAAGATGAATATTGTCGTTGTATATTTTAAACCGTTGGAATTTTGGCTGTGCATTTCTGCCATTTCGGTCGAACAGAATTTCGGTCGATCGGTGTATACTTCGGTTGACCGAAGTATGAGATTTTTGGAATTTAATTTTTATATCAAAATATTAATTTTTCCAAAATTCTCATATTATGAATTAAAAACATTTTTAAGCAAGTGATGAATTATGAAAATATTTTGAGTTTTATGCACTTGCTAAAGATTGATGAGTTGAAACATTTACATATAAATTGAAGTTTCAATAAAGAACTTCTAAACTCTAATCTTCAAAGTTCTTGTTCTCTTCGAGTCTCTTTTGATCGCTTGTTCTTCAATGAATGACGATTAGAGCATTTGAATGTTTAAAAAGATTTATATATGAAAAAAACTCAAGAAATAAGACTTGTTAGAAATATAAGTATCTAGTTTGTTATAATCAAAATAAATGGAGTTATATATTTAATCATAGGTCAACAATGGTCACATGGGCAACAGATGCTAGGCTTACTTGCGTCAACGCAAGCAAATTCCAAAATGTTTTAACCGGAGATCCAGACTGAGAAGGTTGGTGTTTATGGACGAGGGAGATACTTTATGACACAAGAAAAAAATATTCGAGCACCAGCAATATGATCAAAGATTATTTCATATAAACATACAATCATAAACAACTCAAAAAAGTAAAAGTAACCTAAACTAAAGCAAATAAATATGGAATAAGCAAGAGAAAATATTGAGTGTGGTTTCGAGTGTAAAGTGTTGTATCCACCACAAATGTTACAATAGTTGCTTATTTATGGAGTTTTGGTCAACGTAGTAGCTGTTGGATCCGAACCATATGACCGAAGTCTCACATCGCTCCATCTGTTATGCATTTAATACATTGACAATGAGTCAGCCGCCTATATTAGATTGACAATTCTGACATTCATTATTACAAATGTTACATCAATCACTCCTAAAGATTGTCTACGGATCCTCTAAAAGACAGCAGGGCTTCAGCCAAAGGGAGCTTCGCATTGGACGTCTTTCGGTGTAAAGAGCTGCCGGACAAAGTGTTGGGAAAAAATCAACTTTCCCACCCAAATCAACCAAACGCAGCGGAAACACAAAACACGAAATAATTGGACAAAAGAGAAAACAAAGAATTTAACGTGGCTCAGCTGACTGCTGACAACCACAGGAGAAGAACACTTTTATTGATAAGAAAAATAAATCACTCGTTACAATATTTTTCTCACCCTCACAACTTCTCCCTACACAAAGAAAGAACAACAAACGTGTTTTCTTCCTTTGTATACTCTCTCTCACATGCACACAATATTTCTCTCTATTTCTCCTCACTTTTTCACGTCTCAGAATTCTTCTCTCTCTCTCTCTGTTTCTTTTTTCTCCTCTTTTCACGTCAACTTCAATTGTATATATAGCCATAAATTATGCCAAAAAGTTACCTAATTACAATTGAACTCTCTTAATTATTTTCCTTATATAATAATACCAAAAATATCCTTTTCCTTTTCTACTTGGTAATATTTCCATAAAGAAAAATACTCCTAATTTAACTTGACCACTTTTTTTTCCTTTTCTTGTCAAACAAGAATTCTTTATTCCATAATTATTTTGGTCAATCCCAACAATCTCCACCTTGACCAAAAATTTAATAAACATGAACGGTATTCAAAGATTCATCAAACGTCACCTTTCGTTTTGATATCTTTGAACTGCTTTCTTCAACCTTCACGCCATTGGCCACAGATCCCATCTTGGCTACCTCACAAACTTTAGTAATAGTAGAAGACTCCCCTCGGTGCGACTCCAATCTGGCAGCTCCACCTAAAATTGTCTTCCCTATTAACTTGTACAAATTACCAATCTTTTCACCTCTAATTATTGGCACAGAATTTTTCTTCACAATCATCACACCACATTTGGCACAATATTCATAACCCAATGTGTCCAATGCTCCCAACGATATTAAATTTCGCTTCAATCTTGGGACATGCAAAACACCTGTTATTCTTCTCACCACTCCATCAAACATTTTCACCTTCACAGTACCCGAACCCTTGACTTCAAGTTTTTGATTATCAGCAACAAAAATATAACGCTCATCACATGGCTTATAGTTCTCAAACCAATCTCTGTTTGGACTCATGTGATAAAAGCATCCAGAATCTAGAAACCAGTTACTAACTAGACTCTCATCATTAGCAACACATAAAGTATCTTCAAGATCATAATTCTCCTCCACCAAATTTGTAGAGTCTGAATTCTCTGTGATTTCTTTACTTTTCCTCTTCGAGTCAAGATGTTTTGTCAATTCTTCACAATCTCTTCTAACGTGACCCTTCTTGTGACAGTAATAGCATTCCACGTCTCTCCTTGGACGAGATTGAGAACGATCCCTTTGACCATAATTTCTTCCTCGCGATTCACCTCTACCATATCTATTACCAGAAGTAGTCAACAGAACCTGATCACCATTCACATTACCACTTGGCTTCTTCATGTTGGCTGTCTCTAACAAAGCAGTCGAAACCTCGTTCACTGTCAAAGTAGATTTACCAACTAACAGCGTGGTCACCAACGTCTCATATGATTTAGGCAAGGAAGACAATAACATAATAGCCTTATCTTCGTCCTCAATTTTCACATCCACATTCAACAACTCAGTCACACACTTATTAAACTTATTCAAGTGGTCCCTAACATCAATATCATCATCCATCTTCAACTCATATAATTGTTTTTTCAAATAAAGCCTATTAGTTAAGGACTTAGACATATATAAATCTTCTAACGTTTTCCATAACTTAGAAGCGGATTTCTCGTTCAAAACACTATACTTTACCTCAGGTGCAAGAGCCAATCTGATTGTACTGACTGTCTTCGCTTCTAATTCTTCCCAATCTGCATCTTTCATCCCTTCTGGTCTCTTACCCTGCAAAGCTTTGTAAAGTCCTTGTTGCACAAGAATATCTTCAACAGTACTTTTCCAAATATTGAAATTATTCTTCCCATCAAATCGCTCCACCTCAAACTTGGAACCTGTCATCATCTTCTCAATAATCCCAGAGTTTGAACCTTTAGCTCTGATACCACTTGTTGGGAAAAAATCAACTTTCCCACCCAAATCAACCAAACGCAGCGGAAACACAAAACACGAAATAATTGGACAAAAGAGAAAACAAAGAATTTAACGTGGCTCAGCTGACTGCTGACAACCACAGGAGAAGAACACTTTTATTGATAAGAAAAATAAATCACTCGTTACAATATTTTTCTCACCCTCACAACTTCTCCCTACACAAAGAAAGAACAACAAACGTGTTTTCTTCTTTTGTATACTCTCTCTCACATGCACACAATATTTCTCTCTATTTCTCCTCACTTTTTCACGTCTCAGAATTCTTCTCTCTCTCTCTGTTTCTTTTTTCTCTTCTTTTCACGTCAACTTCAATTGTATATATAGCCATAAATTATGCCAAAAAGTTACCTAATTACAATTGAACTCTCTTAATTATTTTCCTTATATAATAATACCAAAAATATCATTTTCTTTTTCTACTTGATAATATTTCCATAAAGAAAAATCTCCTAATTTAACTTGACCACTTTTTTTTCCTTTTCTTGTCAAACAAGAATTCTTTATTCCATAATTATTTTGGTCAATCCCAACACAAAGATCTTCGGCTTCTTATGTAGTGCTTTGGCTTCAGAGTTTCAGCTACTTATATAGTGCTTCGGATGACAAGGGCTCCAGCTTCTTCTTTAAGGACTTCGGCTGGGAGAGTTTCGGAACATTAGCTTTTCTTTGACTTCTTTATTTTGACCAATTGAGTCTTCGTTAACTTAGCCAAATTTGATTTAAATCTTCACGTGGACTATGACATGGTCTTTTGACTGGATCCTCGACGGCGGCGAGGCGTAACAAGAGTAACCTTCAATGCGGTAGAATACTAATATTAGAACACACAAGAGATGAGAAAAAAATATCTTACCATCATAATCATCTTAAATAACTTCCAATTACCCAAAAAAAAACAAAAAAGGAAGGAAATCAAAAAGTTTTTTTATTTAAACAAGAAATGTTACAGACATAATCTTAGTCTGAATTGAGATTAACATACATTGTATCCAATCACTTCATTTGTTGTACTAGATATTCCAAGTTACTACAAGAACTGCCTCCTTTACTGATGCTTTTTCTAGCCATTTCCTTCATCCTAATCACATTTTCCCTTACAATCTCATCAGAAATAAGTTTTTCTACCTTCTGCTTAATTTCAGACCTCGATATTACCCCTATTTCATCCACCTTCAACGATGTGCCTACTTTCCAAGCATCGCAAATGCAGCTCTGTGTATACGTCTGATCTCCAAAATACGGCCAACAGAGCAACGGCACGCCCATGCTTAGGCTCTCCATGAACGAACTCCAACCACAATGAGTTATAAAACACGCAATGGAAGGGTGACTTAACACCAATTCTTGCGGGGCCCACTCGACCATTTTCCCTCGATTGGCCACTCTTGCTGAGAACTTGTCTGAATAAGCAGGAAATGGTCCATCGCACAAGCCCGACCAAGCCACCCATAAAAATGGTCGGCCCATCAGCTCGAGTCCTATTGCTAGTTCATTAAGTTGTACCTGGCTGAACCTTGATGTGCTGCCAAATGCAACATAAACTACTGAGTTTGGAGACTGTTTGTCAAGCCAGGTTAAGCAACTAGAGTCTTCAATACAAAAACTTCCGGCTGATTGCCCATTGGCAAGTAATGGACCAACAGACAAAATATTAGATGCCAGACTACTGGCTGAAGGGTTGAGCTCGTTGAACCAGTTGCAAACTATCCAGTCAGAACTCTTCAAGTGCGAAAATATGCCTTTAATAACATGAAACAACGATTTTTGTATGTTTTTGTCTCCTGGAAAGTACCAAGTAAATTCAGACATGGTAATGGCTGGCATGTTTGGTAACAGTTGGATCTTCTCATTCTTCAATGAAGTCCCTGCAGAGTCAAAAACAATTTCCACATCAAATTGTAAACGTACCCTTCAAAGTCCAAATTAGTACACTTTTGATGCATTTGATTAGGCAGACTCGACAGTATTAACAAAAAAAAAAAAAAGAAAAAAAGATCCTGTTTAGCATAGTGTCCTATCATATCTGATAGTGCAGTCCCGTATGTGTAGTATGTACTTGAAAAGCTTCATATTAGTACACTTTTTGACGTATTTGACAAGTTAGACTCGACAACTGGGGACGTTGTTAGTATATGAAGAAAAAGAAGTTAAAATCCTGTTTAGGCAGTGCCCAATCCTATCTAATACTGCAGCCTTTTGTGTGTAGTTTGTAAACTCACTGTCATGGTCGATGATTTTAGATTGAATAAGATCTCAAATCATGAACCCCGGAGACATGCATCCAGGAGTAGAACCCCAAATCATGAGAAGATGATATCACTCATCTTCTCATTACTATGCTGGTATTTTTTTCTAGAGCAAATCCTCCAAATAAGAAGGCGTAACTTTTTTAATACTCAAAACAATTTCTTCTAATCCTTTCTCTCATCTTAAAGTTCAAGCCCATCGGGAATCGACACTATCCCAATTTCAGAATCGGCTGTTGCAATTGCCATTCGATCATGCATAAAATCAGTTGTAAGAAATTAGACTTTGCTACCAAATTTGATAATTAGCGTGATAGTTTGATAAAAGGCGCTACATGACCTTGCAAAGGGCAGTAAACAACCAAAATGTGCCCATAATTTTCGTTTGAGATTTTCGAGTTTTGATTCATACTGTAAAATGCTGATACCGGAACATTAAATGACCTCAACTCGATCACAGTCTTTGATGATAACTTATGATGGGACACATTTATTAATTTAAATTTTGTTTTGGAGAATAATCAATTTGTGGAAGTGTTTCACATGTTCATATCAGCAAAGAATATTTTTAGATACTGAAGCGTTTACTTCATAACTTAATAATAATTAATATCTGTTCAATCTAAAGAAAAATATTATTGAAGTATCAAGATTTTTTATTTCTCTTAATTATGATTTCTATATGCATGCTTGGCACATATGGCCAGAGTATTGGTAAAAGAATGTTTAAAATGCTCCATTTTGTTTATTAATTAAAATAAAAATTACTTGCAAGGACTAGTTAACTATAATATCAAAAGACGAAAAAAAAATTAATTAGTCGATACAAAAGAAATTGGTCGAGATAAGACTAGAACTCTTTTCTTCTTGCATAAGATGAATTTGCCCCGTACCGACAAAATGTATTGATTGCATTTGTTCTAAAAAAACTAAAATGGCCCCATCTTATAATAGTAGCATTTCAAATTATGAGAACTACAGATCGAATAATGATTTGAACTCTCTTCTCCAAATCCCTCCAATTTTTAATTTCATTTTCCAGACAGTTTTTCTAGTTTTATTCAAGTAACTTAGTTTCGACCTTAATTTTTTCTTGTATGAGTAAAGATATCCCCAAAATCTTCTCCCGTAGAAGAAAAACTTTGATCTGGGAACCTCCAAAAAGAATCATATTTGATCAAAGTTTAGTACGTAGTAGACATTTCAATGGATAAGATTGTAGCCCATTTTTTTCTTTAATAATGTCCAATCTTATATAATTCTCCCTAGTAAACAAGCGAGAAAGTTTGTTATTCGTGTTCTTGATAACGATAATATAGAAAGTCTTGTACTTACCGTCATCATCAATAATTTTCAGCTGAAGAAGGTGGGGAATCATTAGTCCTAGAGCCAAGCATCCGGGAGTTGAACACCAATAAATTGCAGTCTTTATCCCCAACTTCTTTGGGATCTCCAACATCCAAGCCAATGGTGAATCAATTATGATACCACTTATCCTCTCATTATTCTGCTGATTAAAACTTTCCTTGAGCAAATCCTCCAAATAAGGAGGCATAACTTTTTCAATACTTTGATGCAGTTTCTTTTGATCTTTTCTATCATCTTCAAGTTCAAGTCCATCTGGAATGGACAGTAGCCTTATTTCAGAATTGGCAGTTGCTTCAGTCAGTCGAGCATGCAAAAATTCCGTCGTAAGAAATGTGACTTTGCTACCAAATTTGATCATTTGGTGTGACAGTTTAATAAGACCTGCTGCATGACCTTGCAAAGGGCAGGACACAACCAAAATGTGCCCATAATTTTCGTTTGAGCTTTTCGAGCTTTGATTCATAATGTAAAATGCATAACCAAAGGCGAAGATGAACCCATCTTATTAATAGTTTGCATTCAAAGAAAGGAACCTAATCTTTCTTGATAATCACAATCTTGTTCACTCCTTAATCCTCGTTGTACAGGCCTAACAAACTTCTATATTTTAGGGGTGATTCATTTACTTTCTGTTTTATGTATGTTCACGCCTTTCTAGCCGATAGATTCGATAACTTCTTGCCCATAAAAACGTCCATCAAAGCTAAAAGTTCATACAAAATGAACACGCACAACAAGGGCAATGAGGTGCGGGGGGATGTCATGAATGATTTTGAAGAAAATCGAAGTTCGAAGACAGTTCAGGGTTTTATGAGATTTTAATATTTCACAGAGGTGTGATGTAAAGGATCACGTACAACATCATATTTGACACCTAAGAAAGGCTGTAAGACTCTCCTGGTTGGATATATTCTATGAAGGATTGGAAAGAAAAAAAACTTCAAACGCTAGGGATATAAATTATCCTTTATTAATTAGTTCCATTGCACAAGCAGAGACAATCAGTTAATATAATATCACTGATTGGTTCAATCTAGAAAGGTTCGAGCCCAAGTGCAAAAGTTTCATCCAACTCGTAGCAAAATGGACGTGGATTTTCAAGTTTACACGTTGGCTAAAACTCACTCTTAAAATCGAATTGTAATATAAGGAGCCATAGTTATAATTCTACAAGTCTTAACAATGTGAGATGCAATTGTAGGAGATTTTACACCGATAATGTGCATATTATATTCATCAAGAACATGCCGTTAATATGCTTACAATCGAAATATCATTCAACTTACCAAAATATAATTTGAGAAGACAAATTAGTGAATTACCGACT